ATCTGGTTCATTTGATTTGATGGATACCCTGCAGCCCATGGTGGAAGGGTTTGGAAGACGTCGAGATCTTGGAGGGGAGACTCCAAGAAACTCGAGAGTACCAAGGACTACTGCCATTTATAAAGAAGACCTAGTTAGTTAATTGAGACAGAATACTATATAAACTACATTAAACCAAGTACATTTAGTTACTTAGCGAGTTGGCAGAGCTATTTTTGACTCCCTTACACCCCTTGCTTGGTATAAGTCGGTACAGCATAGTACGGTACTGAGGTCACTGCACCGTGCTGTGCCGTACTGAGGTAGGTGCTGTACCGATTGTGTTGTACTAAGGTGTAATAGTACTGGTTCCGTACTTTGTGAACGCTAAGGTAGGGTAAAGTCGCCTATGGGGACTTTGCTGTTTAACTTACGTTGCCTGATTTGTGGACTCTGGATTAGTTAACTAGGTAGGGGCAAGCGAACTTGTCTTCATCATGTACCTGACATAAACAAAATGACATGGTACTCTAACACAGTAAATTTTTCAATAGCGCCACAGATTACCAAAATGGCAATATTACAAATCTAGAGGAATGGTGACCCCTTTCACCTGTTGGCTTTGGATTTGCGAAGCTCTACCACTTTATTGCTCTATTAGTGGGGAGCACTGACTGCACCTCGGAATATGCCCTTTGTCTTCGACAGGCCACAGAGACATGGCGAGTTTGAAACGACCTTGATCAATGAGAGTGCTATAAACTTTGGTCTCTAAGTCCCGTCAGGGCCCAGGTTAGATCACGTACGTCTTCGATTGAAGCAAATTCGTCAGCTCTCATTCTGGATATGACACGATTGATACCTTCGTCCAACATCTGTCCGGCATTCTCTTCTAGCGAACATGCACTGACCATCTCCTGCGCATCAACCTCCTCTTTCCCTTGGTCTAGTCCTATCCTGATGCTCACGTATTGCCAGCCTAGATGGATTGATGCGGTCACAGTACCAATGTATCGGCACTCGATCACCTTTGACCGAGTCTCGTCATATCCCAACCCTACTGTCTCTACAAGGAGACACTGGTTCCCAACCTCAGAGCTCAACCATGGCCATGGTCGCAGAATCATACAGCTTCTCGGTGTCTGCATAGTCTTCATTATCCGCAGCTTGACAGACATCTGTGGATTGTGGAGCTGCAGCAATTTGGCTTTTTCTTCGGTCAATGTGTTGCAAAACCAATCTCCCGTAGCAGTCCCATCGTGTCGGATCTTAAGTGATAGTTGGGAATTCTTCGACGCCAGATCGGAATGCAGGTCGTACAGCGAGGTGGGACACCATGACCACGGCCCATATTCATTAGGTGATATATGGCTGTGTAGCAGATACGAGCTTGGAATCAGTCCGCATTTTGTGAGGATTTTGCGTGTAATCTGTGATTGCGATTCCCCTGAGTCGAATTCGGGCAGCTCGGCCATTAAGCCAGCAACGATCATGCGATCTGTTGCCCAAGACGTATTCCTAGCCCGCAGGATCGCAAGCAGGTCTTCGACGTGAAGTCGCTCTTTCCGCTTTCGACGACGTAGCCTTTGAATAACCGAGGACGCGAGCCTATGGGGTAGCGAGGTGTAAGCATTGTCGTTAGCGAGAATATCATTGTCAAGATCCTTTAACAACGGCTGGCTGCTTTTACCGTCCGGGTTCTTGAAGAGAACCACCACTTTTGTCGACACGTAGAGCTCCAACGCTGTCCAACAACGTGTAAACCATGGCGAAAGAGCTAAAGCCAGGCAAGGACTGCCATCGTCTCTCCATTCATAATTGATCAAGCTCTCGTCGTGCACGACTGTACATTTAGCGCGTTCGAAGTTCTTGTGCATCATACTTAGAGCTTTTCTCCGGACCCCAGGCTCAATTGGCACGCAGATTGTATCCCACCATATACCATCACACTCCAACCTTCTTGCAATACCAACGAAATAATCAATGAGACAACGGTTCAGCTTGCCGGGCTTTTCTAAGCCGATGCCTGTTCCATCCGCCCAAAGATGCGACAAAGCCATATAAGTGCCGTCATGACAGTTGACCTCCGGGGCCTGTCTGATCGTCCATGCAGTTAGCAAGTTTTGAAGGACGGCGCGTTCAACCTCTGCAGGCGGAAAAAATGTCTCTGAGCAGGCTTTATTTCCACATTTGTGGAGCTGTCTGACCCAGGTGCTGTTGACGTTGTTGAACCGGCAAAACTCCTCAGTGCACTCGTGATGCTGCCTCTCGCGATCGAGGGGCATACGGCTTGTCATACTAACAATGGCGGGCAGATCTACCTCGAGGCGGTCAGATGCTTTGATGAAACTCCATAGTCGACGCTGGCAGACGCTTAGACTGCGTGCTGCAATAGAGGCTTTGAGGACTGCCGGAATGACAATAAACTTCGATAGGTGGTCAGGACCCCATGCCGAGCTACTTACATCGAATGGTCCAGTCCCTGATATCCAATACATGATTTCGCACAATCCGAACAGGTCGACTAATGGTCCACTGTCTTGCCCATCAAAACGCCTCTAAACAACTCGATGTTGTCTTTTGACATCTCAAAGAAGCCCAGGCAGATGTGCAGCGCATACCAAATATGAAAGCTTGGGCTTTTTTCGCCCTGTTCAAACCTTAGGTCTCTCCAGTTTTGCCTTCGTGATTGATAGCGTAAACAAGACATGGCCACCAGCACCCATCGCCGGAAATAATCCCACCCGTCACAACTGTTAGGAACAACGTCGTTCATCTTTTGCCTCTCCTCAATACATCCATTATTCCTACAATCTTGGATCTCGGATACGATGCAGTGACGTCCCAAAACGTTCAAAAAAGTTCCTATCCCATGGAAAGAAGGTTGAAGGGGAATTGTGTTCTGCAGATGTTACCCATGCGTAGTGATAAAGGTCATGTTCAGTATACGTGAGCTTGGAGGCGTCCCTGGTCATGTTATTCTGACATTGATCGAAGCTAATGTCGGCGGCTGATTGTAACAGAGTAGTATCAAAATAGAGCGGCTGAGACATTCTACCAGCGTCTACGGACTGATCATTTGGAACTTCTGCTTTCTGCAAGCAATCCATCTCCATAATAGGCCAGACGCGACGCGCTACGGTTGGAGACCGAAAGGGGCAGCTGGGATAATAGAGTGGAAAAGAGGTAGCTGTTCTTGGTAGAAGTAGTGTCTACCGTTATTTATCCCATGCGCCGGTGACGCTAAATCTGGTGTTGCGCCCTTTTGGCGTCTTGGCGTCTTGGCATTACCAGCAGACTCGGAATCAACAGAGCGATAATGAGCTATTGGATCCTGTTTCTGCTATAATATCAGTTGTAATGAGACGTTCTTTTGTTGTGACTTGTGTACTCGCCGAGCACAGGCCTTACCTCGTGCACGTTATCATGAAGGCCGTGTATTCGTGTGCGAACATCTTTGACTCATTCCCATAGCGCGATGGGACCGATCCTTGAGATCTTCCGTGATTTACTTACGGAACGGTGCGTTTAGCCTGAGGGGGAGCACCTGCTCGAGATTGATTGAGAGGGATGTGGAGCAGGTCGTGGACCGGGCAATGAAGTCGAGGTCCTCCACTTCTGATATGCTGGAGCAAGCCGCGGGTGTTCCAGAAGGCATGGCTCATTGGTTACACTAAATGGAGGGGAATTTGTCGGCAAGCCACAGCGTTACTTACATCTTGGTTGGCGACAAGATCGGGTTTTCATGGGTTGACTGCCGTAACGAGTCATAATAATTGAGACCTGGCATGTATTGTTGTAGCTCAAATCATCTGATTCCTGGATGGGTAAGGAAATTCAATTACAGAGGCGAGGGAAGTGATTTCTTAGACAATTTACACCTACTTGTGCAGCTACTGTGGGCTGGATACTAGTAGGCAGCAGGATTAGAAGCCCCCATTTGCATTGCTGTCTCATCCACCAGTGCCGTCCTAATTGATGGTGTGGTTGACGACCACTGGCCGAGTGCGGGTGATTGTTTCAAATCATCGGCTGAGGAAGAGGTTGTTTTGGGATATGTAGTCTAGGAGAATGGTCTAGTGAGTGAGTAGAATGGGCGGAGCATATGGAGTATGGACTATTGTACATGATGTGATAGTGTGTAATGTACTAGCGTGTTTTGCAACCTAGATATGCGCGATGGTGAAGGTGGCTGTAACTTAGTAGAGACAACAGCCGCGGCGAGAAACCTTAGGGCACCTTAATCAGGCTACCACGTAAGTTAGTCTGAATAGATCAACCGACCCTTCTTACACACTAGTCCAGTCCCTGTGTTCTGACCACCATCGTGATGCAATGCGGGTATCAGAAGTGACTAGAGTGCCCCTTCTATGGCCTACACTCACATGTGTAACGACTAGTCGTGTAGTCGTACTACGCTACAGCTCTTCCTTTATCTAATGTCGCTCGGCCAGTTGCCGAAATGGATTTCGGTTTGAATATAATATATCGAAACATTCTCACCATCAAATCCATTTTCAAAAAGACAGCCAATCTCACTACTCTCAGTCTCTTACTATCAAGTCTATACTCAACAAGACAACCACATGGCAACTTCGTCCTCGAAGCCTATGCCCGAACCTAACAGAGCCACTCCATCCCCGAAATCTGTGCCCAAGCCTAACAAGACCACTCCATCTCCAAAGCCTGTGCCCAAGCCCAACATGGCCACTCCCTCCCCGAAGCCTGTGTCCAAGCCAATCATGACCACTTCACCCCAGAAGCCTGTGCTCAAGCCAAAGATTGACCATAAATCTTTAACCGACCTGGCCCCTCCACCCCAGAAGCCTGTGACCAAACCCCAGGTTGACTTTAAATCCTTTTCCAATGTCATCGGGGGTGAACTTCGCAAGTCCAGAAATACATTCTCCGCCAAAAATCCTGCCACTAAGCAACCCCTTTGGGATGTGCCAGCTGCCAACAAACAGGATGTCGAACAAGCTGTCCGCTATGCCAACGTTGCTCAGAAGGAGTGGGCAAAGAAGACATGGAAAGAACGACAGCAGATCTGCCTCCGCTTCAAGGACGTCTACAGCAACTACGTCGACGAACTAACCGATCTGCTCACGCTCGAGATTGGGAGACCAAGGGTATGGTGCAGAAGGGAGGTTGAATCGTGCGCTCTCCATGCAAGCTTCCATGCTCAGTTACCATTACCAGGCGGGGATGGTTTCGATGCAGGGGATAGAGAGATCATGGTCAGATACACACCACTCGGCGTTGTGGCCGCCATCTGCCCCTGGAATGCTCCCCTGGTACTCTGCTTCGGAAAGTTGTTTCCTGCAGTAATTGCTGGTAATAGCATTATCATTAAGCCCTCTCCCTATACTCCATATGCGACCCTAAAAATGGTGGAGATAGCACAGCAGGTCTTTCCACCCGGAGTGGTACAGGTGCTCGCTGGTGATAATTCGGTGGGAGCTTCCTTAGTGGAGCATCCAAACATTCATAAGATCTCCTTCACGGGCTCCATACCGACGGGGAAGAGGATCTTGCAAGCGGCTGCCCCTACGATGAAGCGAGTCACGTTAGAGGTGAGTCAACTACAAGTGTTTTTCTCGGTATCCATTTTCCATTAGCTTACAATTCCTAGCTCGGCGGCAATGACGCCTGCATCGTCCTTCCTGATGTCGACATCGACGAAGTTGCACCCAAGGTCGCTATAAGCGCATTCTTGAGTTCTGGTCAGATATGTGTCTCCTCTAAACGAATCTATATTCATCAATCCATCTATACTCCCTTCCTCAAAGCGATGATCGACTTCACCTCGCAGATCAAGGTTGGACATCCAGATGAAGAGGACGTCATAATTGGCCCCATCCAAAACTCAATGCAGTTCGAAAAGGTGAAGGAGCTTTTCGAGGACAGTAAGAGGAAAGAATATAGGTTTGCTGTAGGTTCGAAAACCGTAGAGGAGTCAATGGGCTATTATATCAACCCGACAATTATTGATAATCCACCCGATGACTCACGAATCGTCACCGAGGAGCCATTTGGGCCAATTGTCCCGTGTCAACCGTGGAGGTACGAAAAGGAGGTGATTGCACGTGCCAACAACACTAAGACCGGGTTGGGAGCGACCATTTGGGGCAAGGATATCAAGCGATGTGAAAGAATTGCGCACGAAATGGAGGCTGGCAGTGTGTTTATCAACTCGGCGGCTAGGCCAACCCCGCTGGCTCCATTTGGGGGGATGAAGGAGAGTGGGCTTGGCTCGGAGTGGGGACCGTCAGGGATCAAGGCGTACATGAATGAGCAGGTTATTCACAATTTTTCAGGCAGATGATGAACTACCTATTTTAGATCGACACACCCTTTGAAAGACCATTAGAAGCTGATTTACATGATTCTTTGGTGAATATCAAGTAAAACTTATAACAATACTCAAGGAAATCTCCAAATTACTTTATCAAACCAACAATGTCAGATAATAACAACTCAGAAAACTTTGTTAATCAGCCCAAAGAAGAGATACAAGAGACAGTTGGTAAAGACGGTCAACTAAGCCACCGCAATTTCAAATCTGGTAGTACTACTAGTAAGAAAGCCACAGACGCTAACAGTAAAGATGATCGCGCGAGCAGTAGCAGCACTAAATTTGGGAGTAAGATGGCCAAGGAGGCTGGTAAAGGGGGCGGGGCTGTAAGTTAGGATGATGAATCTTAGCATGGAGCTAGAGGACAAAGTAGATGACTGTCGTGGTGACACATCGAGGGCATTGTGATTGGTGGTGGTCCCAAGCCTTCACTTGAACAGAGCAGACTTTTGTCTCTATTCGTGAGGAGCTGCTGAAGCTAGCGGGTCTTCGCTGCACAGTGTCCATTTGAATCAAATTGAGTTAAATAAATCAAGTCAGGTCAAGACTGTGAAATCTAACAATTTAGTCAAATGCAGGTCTTAATAACAGAAAAGTCTTTTAATTTGAAACATGCAGGCATTATCTTTGATGGAAAGATATAAGTCTTGGCGGACTCTATTTCTGAACATCTTTGGTAGTCTGAGTGACTAAGGCAAATGATTTGGTGTATTTGATTTAATGGATACACTGTCTGCGAATGTGTAGCTAAGGCCCATTTCGGCTCTGAAAAGAGTAACTTCCACGACTTCCTTACTATGTTTATGCATCAAAAATACCCGTCCGATCCGAGGACCATAATAGACAAGTTGAAATTACTCTTTCGTCCAGTACGACGACAAGTTTAAATGATATCTTCGCTTTTAATCGTAGCGTTGAGTCGAGTTGGCCGAGTTGGCGACGTTTAATTATCGCAAAAGAAGGTAAATTTCAATGATACATAAACCGAAATTAAGAAACGCTCTTTTTGTTCCTTCCCATCCCCAACTACTTCGGCACATGACCATCGCCACCACTTCGTCTTAGAACACTGTTGAATGAGGTATATGAAAGGCCGAAGTATTTCCTCCTTGTCGCTTATCTTTGGGAAGCCCTAAGCGTACTATCAAAGAAGCTGCATTACCCCGAAAATCCCCAGCAAAGCGGCAATCAGGAAGGCTTCGGCGGCCTTGAGACTCAGCTGCATCGGTGGAGCCAAGCCCGTAAACTCTTCGGTGGTTTGTGCGGTCGGCAGTCCAGTAGAGGTTTGAGGACGGTTAGAACCGGCCGTAACAACCCCCCAGCGGTCGAAGAAGGTACGTACGTCCTAGTAGGAGTCGGGCTGGGACTCCAGCCGGGAATGGGACTGGGACTCAAGCTGGGAGTGGGAGTGGGACTCCAACTCCAACTCGAACTGAACGTGGGCGTTGCGCCCGTATCGGCGGTTGTGGAGTTTTCTCCACTGTATGTAATTGTATTGCCACAAACGCCTGCCGGCTCTATTGTGCTGCAGTCCACGAAGGCACAAGTGAGTACGTCGATGACATCACCAAAACCGCTAGTGAAATCGTTCCAGCCAGAGGTGAACTGTGAGACGATCATGCCGGGGACTTGTTGGAGCCTGTCGACGATGGAACCGTCTTCGATGGCGTTGAAGAGCTCGATAGTGTCCCTGAAGATGGCTTCGGCGCCCTCGAAGATATCGGACGGCAGCGTGAGGGCGATGCCGGCAATGTCGACGATGCGGTCGGTGATCTCGGCAGGGAGGTTCTCGATCAGGCTCGGGACTTCACCAGACTCAATTTGGCTGAAGAAACGATTGGCTTCGTTTTCATCATTTTCAAGGATTTCAACGATTTCGCAGGAGATATGGGCAAGAAGGCTGATGATATTCCTGGAGCGGAAAAGACCCCAGATGAGGTTTCTAGACTTGGTCAGAAGAGCCCTTTGCGTTATTGTTGAACAGACAAAGGAAGGGGGAAGGGAAGAATGTGGAAAAGGTTTTGCTAACGTAGAATTTCTGAACAGCTGTCTTTCTTGGAGGGTGCCTTCTCCAACATTGATAGGGGCTCTCTGTATTGCCGCTACCAAGTTCGGGATAAGGAAAAGCGGTAGGAAGATCATAACAGTGTGATTGACAAGCATCTTGAACCCGCGATTTCTCGATCTAGCTGCAGAAGGCTTGAGATGAGTTCACAAGTATGATGAATGAGGGGCGGATGGTATCGAAAGAGATATATAGGACAGAGCCATGAGGCAGTGTCGAAGCTTGAAGGCCGAGGCCGATGGAAGGTCATTGAGCTCGTGGACAATGCGTCGCAATCATTTTGGCCTCTTCGGGGGTCAACAGGACGAGAATACTCCTAAATGGCATGTTTTATGCAGGTTGCTCGAAGTCAACCAATTCAGATGGGTCGATCTTGGGGGCGATTAGGCAGATTTGCGAAGACAAAAGACTGAAGTACTAGTAGGCCAATAAACCTCATGAAAAACGTTTCAGTTAAAGAGGCTGGGTAGCATGCACACAGTAAGAATGACAAGGCCACCAATCAATATTAATTCTTAGAGCGCCACCGTTTGACATTGAGACAGAAGATCTTGCGCATTGGGCGACTCTTTAGAACCACTCGCTGTTTATTGTTAGTGCTTGTCTTGCAGACATCGGATTCGCGCTGACTTCAGACTTCTATACACGTTGTCAGCAGTTGTCAGCCTCGCCAGTTACAGGAGACAACTGCCCAATACCGTACAGCCCCCAAGATACACCAGGCTGTTCGGCGCTGAGGTGGCCAACTGGGTCCATTGCCTGATTGCAAAATTGGGCAGTTCTGAGGACTGAGGGAATATCAGCTGAAAAAGAAGGATGTCAAGTGGTGCATCGGTCTCAAGGGACACAGAAGGAAAGAAAACCAGGTTCTCACCCCAAGAAACGGCCCGCATTCGTACGGCCCGCACATTACCAGGGGATGGAAACTTTTCTGGAGATTACTACTACACGGAGCCGCCGCCCCAGAATAGTTATGTGCTCCAACGTCGCTATACCAAGAAGAGTAAGAAGCACAATCCCGTAGCATATGATTGGCGAGATCATCAAGAATTCCAACAGATTGATCGGCTCTGGCCCGTATTTTCCGGCAGCTGTTGTACTACGTAGTACACCATCCCAAGATCCGATTAATGCTTCTATTTACCTCAAATCATACCTCTCCCTCGCGATCTTAGCATCCTTCTCTACTTCCTCTCCCACCTTCTCTGCAACAGTCTTAACCTTCCCAGGAACCTTCCAACCGCCCTTCGGATCCGTGCCCAGCCTCGGCACGAACTTGCCAACCCTAGCCTGATACTCCTTATATTCGGGATACTTTTGCGAAGAGATCCGTTCCGTAAGCCAGGTACTTGCCTGAAACAGAATCAAATACGACAGTGCACCAATCCCGGTCCAGTTGTATGTGCTATTCGTCGTGTAGCAACCCCATTGGTACAATGTCAGCCAGAAGGCTTGCTCGGCCGCAAAGTTCGGGTGGCGAGACCACGACCATAACCCGGTGACAATGAAACCACGGTCGAGATCCTCGCGGTTGAACTTCGGGGGCACTTTGGCGGTCTCTTGATAGGATTTCTTTGCGCTCTGGAATTGCCATTGTTGCTGGTCGGCGAAGAAAGAGGTTAGTACGCAGGCGACCATGAGGCGGGAGAAGATCAAATCGGCGAACGTCCAGGGTTCGACCGGGGTGCCGGAGGAGGAGGCCAGGCGGGAGGCGAGGAGGACGAGGTAGGTGGGTGTTGTGATGGAGAGGAGAAGGATGGATTGGGCGAGGGAGATGAAGAGGACGTTGAAGATAAAGAAGAGGGTTGGTGAGATTTTGGTGCGCAGGATAGCCCAACGGTAGTCTTCGCTGCCGATTGTGTACCCGCCTTTGCGCCAGTAGTTGAATGTTAGGCGACACTAGTTGCGAAATCAGCAATGGTATGGTTCAAGGTTATGAGGAGTTACTTACGCTCCAAATACAGCTTGCGGCAAGTAAAGTGTCAAGACGCTTAGTCTCAAATCCCATGAGGTGTGCGTAGATAACAAAATGAGCATTGTAGAGAGTCGGGAGTATGCTCCATAGGCGATCCACCTGAGAGTAATTCTTGTTGATCTCGGATACAATGAGAAAGATTGGAGAAAGCGCGAGAGAGAACGCGAAAGCCGAGATCAAAGGGTTTGTGTCGAGGTATATCTGCTTGAGCGCTGTAGGGTTGGTGGCGGATTCAAGTAAAAGACCAAGAAGTGGTCTCAGTTGATGAAGGAAGGGAGTGACGGTATTAGAGAAGTCTGAGCAGTCCAGCGCTGTCTTGATGATAGGGAGAGCCATTTCTTCAGAGAGACCCAACTTTGAAAAAAAAAGAATAGAGGAGAAATTTGGAATGAAATCGATGAAGTCAAGAGTTGTTTTTGTAAATGTTTGGAATGGTCATGATGCAATTTTGTACGTAGTATGCACTGTCGATCAATCAATCGTGTGCTCAGACCCTGCAGCTGAAGATCTCCGGCAGGGACCGCGACCAAAACCCCCTTGCCACTTCTGTCAACGCGTTTTTTTCATGGCATTCATCGCGAATCAGGAGTTGGTATCGACCACACAGTGTGCATCGACTCAACTTCGAATCAGCTAGCTGGTTGCAGATGGCTCTTGACCACCGCAGGCGGCTTGACCGCGGCCATGGCTCCTCAAAGAATCCTCTGTGTAGCTGAGAAGCCATCTATCGCCAAGGCTGTGGCGCAACATCTGGGAGGCGGTAGATTCATCACCGTAAGTTATAGATATATATATCTCTAACGGGTTGTCGTTGACACATTGGTAGAGAAACGTTCGTGGCAATACCTTTGTAAAGAATTATGAGTTCGACTTTAGCTTTGCACAATGGGGCAACTGCTCCGTCACGATGACCAGCGTCAGCGGGCATCTAACCAGCCTGGACTTCGCAGATCGGTATAAGAAGTGGCAGACCACCCCGCCTGGTCAGCTCTTCGAAGCGGAGACAGTCATTAAAATCGATCCGGTCAGTCACACCACCGTAACAACCATATTATGGATCTGGGCTGATGAGAACAGGAGCGGAAACCAATTGCCGACAACATTCAGCAGCAAGCACGTTATGCTAAGGTGCTTTTTATTTGGACTGATTGCGACCGAGAAGGGGAGCACATTGGCTCCGAAGTTCGAGAACAGGCAAGAAAGGGTAATGCCAGAATCACCGTCAAACGTGCCAGGTTCAGCAATACAGAGCGAACGTATGTTTGATATCCTCTCGCCATTGCCGCTTACTGATCATCTCAGCCATGTTATTCAAGCTGCTCAGAATCCAGTAGAACTCGATGATCGGCAAGCAAGTGCTGTAGCCACACGCATTGAATTGGACTTGAGGATTGGCGCAGCGTTCACTCGACTTCAGACCTTACAACTACAGCAGTTGGGAGATTTGCTAGCGGATAAGGTCATAAGCTACGGTTCTTGCCAATTTCCCACGTTGGGCTTTGTCGTTGAACGATATTTCCGGGTCAAAAACTTCAAGCCTGAGACCTTTTGGTCCATCAAAGTAACATATCTCAAGGAAGGCGTCAAGGTCAACTTTTCATGGAATAGGGTTCATCTGTTCGACCGCGCCGTGGTTACCATCGTCTTTGAAAAGTGCCTCGACGCCAGACTGGCCAGAGTTACAAAGGTACAAAAGAAGCCGACTAGCAAATGGCGGCCACTACCCCTGACTACCGTAGAGCTGCAAATGCAAGGCTCCAGGTTCCTGCGCATGGACTCCAAAAAGGTGATGAAGATTGCTGAACAGCTTTATCAGAAAGGGTGGATCAGCTATCCAAGAACCGAAACAGATCAATTTTCAGGAGACTTCAATCTTCGATCCTTCATCGAAAAACAAACGCAAGATAACAATTGGGGTGCTTATGCCCAAGGACTACTTGACGGAGCCTTCAGACAACCACGGCAAGGGAGGCATAACGATCAAGCTCATCCACCGATTCATCCTGTTAATTATGTCACCTCTAGCTCATTGCCAGACGATGAGCGACGTGTCTATGAATTTGTCGTCCGACGCTTTTTGGCCTGCTGCTCAGAGGACGCTAAAGGTGAAGCAACAGACATTGAAATAGAATGGGGGGAGGAAGTCTTTCATACCCATGGCCTGCTAGTCCTGGCCAGAAACTACCTAGATGTCTACGTGTATGACAAATGGGAAAGCAGTCAGCAACTACCGCATTTTGAAGTTGGAGAATCATTCGAGCCCACAGAAGCAAACATGACCGATGGCAAGACAACAGCGCCCGGATACCTGACCGAGCCAGAATTGATCGGGTTGATGGACGCTAATGGCATAGGGACTGATGCCACGATGGCTGATCATGTGGCTATGATCAAGGATCGGGAGTATGTGGCAGCAAGACCAAAGGCTGGAGGGGGCCGCAATGCCGTCCAGGAATTCGTTCCGACGAGGTTGGGAGTTGCATTAGTCGAAGGCTACGATAACGTTGGACTTGATGTCAGTGTCAGCAAACCATTTCTCCGCAAGGAAATAGAGCTGAAAATGAAGGCGATCTGTGAGGGACGGAAGACCAGAAGCGAAGTGGTTCATGAAAGCATTGAGGAGTACCGAGAGGTATTTGGTAGGACACAAAGAAATATTGGGGTTCTAAAAAGATCCGTCAGGAAGTATGTGTTTGATGAAGACGTAGGATAGCGTGTCCCATCCCGGCCCGTCTTCAAAACCACATGACTTGCAGGCTTGAACATGGACTGGAGACAACAATTAGACTTGGTTCATATAAACGGAGTTTGGGCGGCGGACGAAGGAGACCAACACTGGTGGTATTAGTCATTAACTTTCATGCCAAGTCTGCTAGTCCATGACATCTACTCTCTGTGCTTCAGTTGCTCTACTCATCGAAGGAAATGCAGAGCACAGACAACCCCGTCGCCTCCTACACACTACCCTGTTGTGCCTGTGGTAATCTCCTACTGCAACCTGAAGAGCCTTGACAGCTGGAACAGTTTTACCACGTACGTTCTTCCTGCAGCAGACTTGCAAGTACGGCCTTTGCGCCACAGCTTCGGATGATGACCAATTTCCTACCACGGCCTGGCAGTCTTGCAAGGAGGTCCCGACCTGTTGCTGAATGTGCTCTCTGCACCGGAAGCTCTCTATCAACTGTCTCGAGGTCAAGGATACCTTCACGCCTCCCTAAATCCTACGTTCGGCGTTATGCGACAGTGAATGATGATGATCCGAAGCCTGACAAAAATACCAAGGATGCTCAAGTGGCCAATAGATCGAGCAAGGATGGAGAGAAGAAGATTGCTGACTCGGCGAGCAAAATACCTGGGAAACCACCACCAGGCTTTGAAGAAACTTTTGATAAGAACAACAGGTCCAGCCCACTTTCGGCTCCATCTGGCGGCTCGGAGCCAGATAAACACGACACGGCCAAGCCTCCACCAGGCTTTGCTCCTATGGATGAGCGAGAGATGCAAGTCCTTGACACGATTGCACAATCAGTGAAAAAGGGTCTTCCACAATCGCAAACAAAAATAATTGACGATGCCATTGATATGATCAAGAGAGGCGGAGTGCCAAACGAGTTACGGGAGATCATGAATGAGAAGATGAACAATCCTAATTTCAAGATGGATCTTGCTACAGCGGCCAAGCTCGTTCGCGTGTTCACTAAGATGTCGCGAATGAATGTTCAACAGATAATGGCCCATCTTGAAAAAGAGCAGAATGGGAAGAAGGAGAAGGACGAGGGTGAGCCAGCTTTCAAGCAGTCATACAGCCAGAAGGGCAAAGGCGGGCAGCAGAAAGGACCAGATCCTTCCAAAATCAGAATTGGCGAGTTCAAGCTCGATACCGGGACTTTCCTCATCTCCGCTTTCCTCTCCTACTACCTCTACCGCAGTCTCTATCCAGGCGAAAGCTCTCGGGACATTACATGGCAAGAGTTCCGGACGACCTTCTTGGATAAAGGCCTGGTCGATAAGCTTACTGTCATCAATCGCAATAAGGTGCGCGTTGAGCTACATCGAGAAGCTGTAGCCAACATGTACCCAGAGTCACCCGCTGTGCGAGCCAATTTCTACTACTACTTCACGATTGGCTCCGTCGAAGCGTTTGAGAGGCGACTGGATGAAGCTCACCAGGAACTTGGCATTCCCAGTTCTGAAAGGATACCTGTCGCGTATATTGACGAAGTACCTCTCTCTGCAGCATTCTTCTCTTTTGGACCTACCTTGTTGTTCGTAGCTGCTCTTTTTTATTTTTCGCGACGTGCTGCATCCGGCGCGGGCGGCCAAAGTGGCATTTTCGGCATTGGCAAGTCAAGGGCAAAACGCTTCAATCACGAAACCGACATCAAGACCAAGTTTTCAGATGTTGCTGGTATGGATGAAGCAAAACTCGAAATCATGGAGTTTGTGTCGTTTTTGAAGGATCCGACCAAATATCAAAGTTTAGGCGCCAAAATCCCTCGTGGTGCGATTTTATCAGGCCCACCTGGTACCGGTAAGACACTTCTTGCCAAAGCAACGGCAGGTGAATCCGGAGTACCGTTTTACTCGGTCTCGGGTTCGGAGTTTGTCGAAATGTTTGTGGGGGTTGGGCCGTCGAGAGTGCGAGACCTATTTTCGAATGCTCGCAAGAATACCCCATGTATCATATTTATCGATGAGATCGATGCCATTGGAAAGTCCCGTGCGAAGCAGAATTTCGGAGGCGGCAACGATGAGAGGGAGAGTACACTAAATCAAATCCTCACCGAAATGGATGGCTTTAATACTTCGGAGCAAGTTGTCGTGTTGGCTGGCACTAACAGACCCGATGTGCTCGACAAAGCTCTTATGCGACCTGGCCGCTTTGACAGGCATATTTCCATCGACCGACCCACAATGGATGGAAGAAAACAGATCTTCCTGGTTCATCTGAAGAAGATCGTGACTAGTGTCAACATGGACTATTTAACAGGTCGTTTGTCTGCACTTACACCCGGCTTTTCCGGCGCTGATATTGCGAATTGTGTTAATGAGGCTGCTCTTATCGGTAAGTTACACCGTGCTGTATTCTTGGATCATTTCTGACGCATTGCAGCTGCCAGAGCGAATGCAACGGCTGTCGAAATGACACATTTTGAACAAGCCATTGAGCGCGTGATTGGCGGCTTGGAGAAGAAATCTCTTGTGCTTACACCCGAAGAGAAGAAAACCGTTGCTTATCATGAGGCCGGTCACGCCATTTGTGGCTGGTTTTTCAAATATGCCGACCCCCTCCTTAAGGTTAGCATTATTCCACGTGGCCAAGGCGCATTAGGGTACGCCCAGTACCTCCCTGCTGGCGGTGGCGACGTCTACCTGATGAACGTCAAGCAATTGATGGATCGCATGGCCATGACCCTTGGTGGTCGCGTCTCCGAGGAATTATGGTTCGACACTGTCACCAGCGGAGCAAGCGATGACTTCAACAAGGTCACCCGAATGGCAACCGCCATGGTGACCGAATGGGGCATGAGTCAGAAGATCGGGTATCTCAACTACAAGGACGACGAGCAGCGTCTGCACAAGCCCTTCTCGGAGGAAACCGCCCGCAACATCGACTCTGAAGTGCGAAGAATCGTCGACGAGGCTTACAAACAATGTAAAGATCTGTTAGAGGAGAAGAAGGACCAACTCCAGGCCGTGGCAGAGGAGCTGCTCAAGAAGGAAATGCTGGTCCGGGACGATCTGGTCAGGATACTGGGCAAGCGGCCATTTGAGGATCGAGGTGATTTTCACAAGTACTTTGATAACCAGGAGGGCAAGAGTGCTCCTCCGCCACCTCCAACGGAGGGAACGGAAGGCGCCGGCCCAGAGATCCCGGCTCCAGCTTTCAGACAGCACGATGTTAGAGGGTAGTGAGTGATTGTCACTTTTGTTGACCGCGTCGCGTGGCGTTTTCCAATGCAAGAGTGTGGGACAGAGTGGACAATCTCCAGAGCTACTAGTACTTACGTGTGGTACAGCATTGTTTTCGTGATGTGGTGTGCCGGTTGAATCCGGTTGAATATATTTACATACCATACTCCATACTCCATACTCCAATCTAAGTTAGAAAAGACTTCTCGCCCTTTTGTTTAGAGATCTCTCTACCTCTGTTCCCCCTTTTATTGACTCACATACATGAAGCCGGTTCGTTCTTGGGGCGATATTTGAAACTGCGAAATTGTCATAACTCGGATCTTCCGCTCAGTGTAGATACACTACTACTAGTAGAGAAGCAGTTCGGTTCGAGAACTTCATAGCCCCTGATCAGAGAAGCGGTCCTTAACGTTTCACGATTCTGGCTGGTTCGATCGAGAGGGAGTGAATACCTGTTCTGGGAGCTGCCCCCTTCCCCCTTCCCCCTC